CCAGCCCCATCTAGCGGCAGCCGTGCCCGGTCCCAAGCTCTCCCCGTTTGTTCACAGGCACATCCCAGTGGTCGCGAGCGAGCGGACAGGGTGCCTTATCTCCCAGCTACGAAGGGAGCCTCCACACTTTAGTAAGTGTCGCCGAAAGATCTGCCTTCTCCTTTTCCCTCCCATCCCTTGTGCTCCTGGCGGTAAAGGGCTGCTGCGTAAAGTTATCTCCCCCAAACGTCTGGGGCCTGAAGCGAGATGGTTAGTCAATAGATGGACATTTGGTTGGAAGCAGCTGAGCAGAGCTGAGCTCTGCTTCCCTGAGCCCAGAGCCTTGCTGGCTGAGGTGCAGCCTTGCACCCTCCCCCTGTTTACGCCCCTGTGGGTCTGGCCAAGCCAAACGGATTTCTGGGTGGTTTCTGCCTCCCTTTCCTGAGCAGGAAACCTGCTCGCGTGACCCCTTGTGCCTTTAGGGGACGGCACTGACTGAGTCAGGGGGTTATTTCCCCCCATACCTGCCTTGGGGTAGCTGAGTGCATGATTGCAGCCAGCCATTCTGTAGTGCAGAGAGCTGCAGCGGGCTGCTGGCTTTACAGGTTTTAACACAGACCTGTTTCTCTGTCCTGTCCTTCAAGCAAAACAAAATGGAAGACAGGTTGGACGAAGCCATCCACGTGCTGAGGAATCACGCTGTGGGCCAGACAGCTGCCATGCCAAGCAATCACGGGGACATGCACGGGCTCCTGGGCTCGGCACCAGCCCACAGCGCTACCGTGGGCAGCCTGGGCCAGGCCTTCCCTGCCTCAGTCATGTCCCTGGGGAACAGGCACCCGAGTCTGGTAAGTGTGGAAGCATCATGGCAGCTGGCAGGGATATGCTGGGGATGCACGTCACAGGGTCCCCTGGCATCCAGAGGGACATTGCCTTAGGTGTGAGAATAGCTCAGCGTGGTCCAGCTCGGGTCAGCTGTTGACAACTTTGCACGGATGATGATGTGCGCAGAAGCGCAGTGGCTTGATGTGTTTGTGCAGGAGGGGTTGAATCCACGCTCGGCACAGTGGTGGCTCTTGGCCACGAGCCCTGCATGCAGTTCGCTCATGCCCCTTCTCAGGGCAGGCAGAGGTGGTGAAAGCTCCTCTTCTTTCCCTGCAACATGGATGGAAATCCCTCAGTACAGCTTCAAGCCGTCCCCGGGGAATGCAGGGAGGAGGAGGAGAGGGATCCAATGCAGGGCAGGACTGTGGGTACAGAGCACCAGGTATCATCAGGACTTCTCTGCTCCGAGCTGTTTGGGCAGACACTGCGTCCCTTCGCGCACGTGGGGAGTGGTGATGTGTCATGGCTCATTCAGGCTCCAGGGAGCGCGACACCTGGGTGCTGGGGTCCTGTGCTGGTCACCAGGGTCCCTCCCTTGTCCAGAGGCTGGTGACTGCAGGAGCACATTTTTGGCTGCCTGCTGCAGCAAACAGTAACACGTCTCCAGTCTCTCTAGAGAGCCAGGCGTGCTTCCCTTCCGAGCTCCCCAGACTCCGCTACTAAGCGATGAATCATATGTATGTCCTCTGTTGCAAACTCCTGCCAGCTGCAGAAAGGAGAGGGCTTGCAGCGGGGCTGGCTCTGTCCTGCCAGTCCCTGGCCAGTGTAGTGCAGTCTTGAGGGGTGTGGGCTCAGCAAGGCTGCCTGACCCTCGCCCTTTGCGTCCAGGTCCTTCTGGGCAAAGTTCATGCTGCTGGGATGTCCCCTGCTCTGGTGGCACTGGGGAGGTGGCAGAAACGTTGGTGCTTGGTGGAGACAGGACACATATAGCCCGGGCAGGGTGTCCTCTCCAGTGTGCCAGCTTTGCATCCAGGCAGAGAGAGGCTTTTCCACGGTGGGGGGAGACAGCAGTGGTGGGGGCTTTCTGCTTGGTCCAGCTGATGTGCCGGGCACGAAGTTGCTTTCTGCAGTGCCCCCACCACAGTCCTCGGAGCGCTGGAGCAGGCTGGCTCCTTCCTCCCGCATGCCAGCGCTCTGGGTGGTGGGAGTGTGCGAGGGGGGCCCACAGCTGCACCTCAGCCTGGGCTGCGGAGCCCTGCGGCTGTGCTGAGGGTGGCTGTGCCCATGCCCACTGGCCGTGACGCTTCCCCCCCTCAAGGCTTGCTCTGCTTGTTCTGCTGTAGGTGGGAGGAGGTCACCCCGAAGATGGGTTGTCCAGCAACCCCAGCATGCTCCACAACCATGTCACACTTCCGTCACAGCCCAGCTCACTCCCTGACCTCAACAGGCAGCAAGACACGTACAGCGGTAAGGCAGCTCTGCACGTGTGCACGCTTGAGGCTCACCTGCCGCGGGTGATGCGGGTCACCCGTTAGGTCCAGCCCTGTGCAGCAGCAGCCGGCAGGCAGATGGGTGCTCTTGCAAGGCCCGTGCTTCCTTGCAGCAGCCGCAGGGCAGCTTCTACCTTGAGCCTTTTCCAGAGGTTTGACCTACATGTTCCTGTCCCTCCCGCCAGCTGTGGGTGCGCAGAGCCCCCGGGCGCTGCTCTGCTGGGGGAGGTCGGGCTCTGACTCTGGAGGGCCTGAGAGGTGGGGGGCGAAGAATGGGGAGAGGTGGCAGGGCAGAGCTGGTACCCCTCCATCTCCTCTTGCTGCAGACCGGCGGTGCAGGATGAATCCAGGATGCCGCGCGCTGGCAATGCAGTGCAGCAGGAGCAGGGCCTGGGGAACACCCCACCCCTCCGTGCGGGTCAGGCCTCTCCAACATCCATGTGTGGTTCTGCTTCCTCAGCAGGCTTGTCAGGGGGGCTGGGGCGAAGCAGCGTGTCCTCGGGAACCAGCGAAATAAAGAGGGAAGAGAAGGAAGATGAGGAGAACACGTCGGTGGCAGATAACTCGGAAGAGGAGAAGAAGGAGCTGAAACCCTCCCGGAACAGAACAAGGTGCTCTTTGAACAGGTCTCTCCCTTCACTTAACTCTGTTACCAGGCTGGGGGTGTTTGAGCTGGGGTACGGCCGTGGTGACCTGCCGGGCGCTGGGCTCAGCCCGGTGAGGCCGGAGGTCATCCTGTGGTGCAGACCCGCCAGCCCCTGCCCACTGCGGGCGCCTTGTCCGTCCTCACACCGACGCGGCA